GGGGAAAAAACAACTACCTCCCAGGCATCTCATTACACACATCAAGCCTAATTGTGCTCACTTTGCTAAACTCAAATTTCAAACAGAATAAAGCTAATCTCTCTTCCTATCATGTACCAAGTCGCCTTTTTTTCCAGTCAACCATTTTCAGATCCCCCAACCAACCCTTACCAAGGCATGAACTCAAGTCTTTTCACCACTTGCTTGCCTCCCAAAGGTCACAGGTCAGCTGATCAATGCCCATCCTAAAATATGGTATATAGATTTTAAGCGGAGGAGACTAAAGTTAGAGACAAGGTGGTGTTCCAGTTGTCAAAGAACAGGAAAATGAAGGTATGGCTTGTATGGATCCAAGCAGGAATACAAGAGACAAAATAAAAAGAAAAATCAAAAGGACTTGGTAACTAATTCAGCATAAAGGAGGATTCTAGCTTGAAAAATACCAATCTTATCGCTAAAAATAAGGTAGGGAGACTTATTCAAGAAAACAAGTTTGTTTTGAGGAAATACTGTTTGTAATGAAAGCAAGTCACAAGTACACATTTCTTCCAAATAGACATAAATGTAAAACTGAAGTCCTTAGAAGTGGGGTCAGGACTGAACTGAATTTTTAGTCTCCCAGATATTCCTCAATGTTCTTTCCCTTTCCAGACTCCAGTCAATCTATCTTACTATATTTTCACATTACATACCTCAAATTACTCATGTCTTAATTTTACCCTCCCCTACTAGACAGTAAACTCCATGAGGACAGGAACTTTGTCATGTTCTTTATGACTCTTACAGTGCTCAAGTCTCAATTATATTACTTTAATTTGTATCTCCACCCTTGTATCGGCCGCTTTCATGGACAACTTCACTCACTACCCATTTAACTCAAAGGCAGGGGTGTATGGAGTGTTCAGGTAGGACTAGCACCTCTGGTATGAGGACTTGCTGAGCCCTTTTCAGGGCTGTCCGTCCACCTTTGGTGTCCATTGGATTCAAACAACTCTCACTTATGGCTCCAAGAAGCTGTAGTATGCCCAGCAACCACATCCCAGTAACACTGTCTTGGCAGACTGCTAAACCAGGTTGAGGGTAACCTATAGGCCATATGTGAAGACATCCCTTGGCAGAATGGGTGAGAACAAGTTGCTCCAATGGCCATGAAGGCAACTGGAGCAGGCACTGTGGATCCCTTAAAGCTTGATCAGGCATCAAAGATGCCAGGGTCATTCATTGAATCCCTGGCCATTGCCAGTAGTCTTGACTTTTATCCTGCCACTGGACTTTGATAACTCAGGAGGAGAGAGTAAGTCTGATGACTTTATGCAACTCTGATTCACTTAAATCCAATTCATTTGTAAGTCAAGACATCATAAGTAACAAGACATGTTACTGATCCTCTTCAAAAATGGGGGGCAGCTAGGTGGTGCAGTGGATAGAGCATCAGCCGGGAAGTCAGGAGGACCTGAGTTCAAATCCAGCCTCAGACCAAACACTTGACACATACTAGCTGTGTGATCTTGGACAAGTCACTTAACCTCGATTGCCTCACAAAAAAAAAATGGAAGGATAAACAACTCAAATGTGAGTTCCTTTGTTACCTACCCACCACCCACTCAACCTCCAAATTCAAGTCGATTCAATCAAAGCTCTTGCAGACTATACTCATGTACTCCCACTTCCCAATGAGGAAGTAATGGGAAGGTGACTCTTAACCTATCTTCTCATTAAAATGTCTACCAATCCAAACTGTCTTACCTTTGCCAGGAGAGGTTCAAATGAAGTACTCAGGTCAATAAGAAGACTGGCCTTCACTCTGAATCTTTGGTCATTGAGAAAGGCCATTGATCTGATGTATTGGTTACTGCTAGCCCAACTAATAAACTGATCATACTCGAAATCTTGTCTCTCAGTTTACCTTAATTTTCAAAGGTAATAATTGTCTACTCATAAAGGAACAGAAGTAGGGAGACCATACCTGAAATAACCTTCTGGGGAAAATCCCCAAGAGCTCACTTGTGGAATTTGCCACCAGGGGCTTTTTCCATGTCCCTCCTAGCTCCAATTCAGATCCCATGAGGGGTTGAGAAAGCCATGTTTTTCCTAGTCAAAGGGGGAATGACTAAATTGTAGAGCAAGTTAATTTAAATCCCACTATTGCCCTGAAAGGGGATTTTTTGGTAGCTGCATCACTAGTGTTTCATATTGTTCTGTCCGTTTGTTTGCATAAATCAAGCTGTTTTCTTCCCATGACCTGATCAACCTGGGGAGTTTTATCTATGTGAAGAATTCAGAGCAATAATCTCTCTGCCTCCTGAATATGACCAAGTTAGAAAGCAGACAAAAAACACAGACAGGATTCTAAATCTGCAGGGAATTTATGGCATCATAAACTAGTTAAAGACTAAAATGTAATTTCTCTACTGTGAATTTCCAAATTGTAGTTTGAATGCTATTATAAGCGCTAAAATATCTAAGTGAGTTTCAGGGTAGCATTCTGTAGAATGCGTTTTAAGGAAAATGTAACAGTTACTATAATAGGATGCAACTATGTAACATCTTGCTGTTCTCAATCTGAAATTAGAGTTATTTCCACATCCTAAACTATTAAATAGATGAGTTCTTTGGTTTGTCATCTTCCCTTCCTAATGGTTATATATTCATGTATAAGATTAGGTCCCTGAAGTATCTGAGGATTATGTACTCCTAAGGAAGGAATTAGACATAGCTGTAAAGGTTTTTCTACTTTAAAAAAAATTTTTTTTAATTAAAAGCAGTAGTAAACTTTGAGAAAACAGGATCAGACTGTTTTCTCTTAGAACATGTGTATGTGTGTGTGTGTGTGTATACCTATATTTGGCTTCCAAATGTTTATAATGGGAAATTCAGGCTTTGAGTATGTTTTAGTAATGAGCTCTCAGAATTAAATGAAAAATTGGCATTTAAAATTGATGACTGTCAAGAAAGTAAATTTATTTTCCTATTAATAAAAGAAACAGAAAGACTCATTTTCACAAGTCAGGCCCTCATGGATTTCTTTTTTAAAATTTTTCCTTCAGCCTACTGTTGGCACGTACAGGGTTTAGATAAAGATAGGAACTGCAAGGAGTATGTAAAAGCTTAGATTCTCTGAATTTTTAGGTGAATTATGGGTTCCTGATGTTTGAGCCGGTTATTGGAAAACTAAATTTAGGAGGGTGTACTAAATTGTATTGATCTGTTTTGCCAAAGATTATAGCAGAAATATATACCATTCTCTGCAGATAACCTGAACCAGAGAAGCAGGTCTTATAGAAGCTCCCTTCAGAACTGCTTTGAGAACAAGCACATTCCAGAATGCCCAAGAGATATTTTCAGAAACCAGACAACTGTATGAGGCATCTGAGCCCTAATAAGATAATTATGTGCTGATGAAATGAACATTGGGAATAGGTTACAAGAAAAGAAAATGAATATTTATCCCTTCCTCTCATTCCTTCTCCATGCACTACTGTTTCTGTAAGGCCTACTTACCAAAGGCGACTGCCCCCAGTGGAATTTGTCAATGCCTTAGTCACAGGTGGTCTCAAAGATCAAGGGATGAATGGTTATAAGATTAAGCTTGATGATATTAGAACCATCTTTGATCAAGTTAGTGCTATTAAAATAGAATATCTGGGATAAAATTTCTTTAGTCCCTATTCTGTCTTGTAACTACCTCCTCCCCTTTACTCAAATAGTCTCCAATCATTTGAGTCTTAATTTTATTATTTTAATTTGTATCCTGCACAGTGGATAGAGCACCAGCTCTGGAGGACCTGAGTTCAAGTCCGGCCTCAGACACATGATACACGCTAGCTGTGTGACCCTGGGCAAGTCACTTAACCCCAGTTGCCTCGCCAAAAAACAAAAAACAAAAAATTTGTATCCTGACAGTAGCATTGTCCACCTTTATAACTTTACCCACCTCCCACTCAACCCAAATTCAAGTTGATACAATCAACTTGGGGGATTACCATGGGAGGGAGTCTAGATGCAGGTAGAGCAATCCAGAAAGCTATTGTACAAATCTATGCCAAGCTATAAACATTTATTAAAAGCTAACTTCACTTTGCTCAACTCTGGAAGTAGAAAGAAAGGCAAAAATTTGTATCAAGTGCTCCATAAATATTTGTTGATTTCCTAATTCCTACTTTTGCACACAAGTCCTAATTCTTAGGATGCGCTCTTGCCTTCACCATCATCTCTTAGAATTCCTGGTTTTCCTGCAAGGCTCAGCTCAAAAACCACCCTCTACAAGAAGTTCCAATTAGCATTTACTTATTTATGGCGACCTATGTTGTATCCCCACAGTAGAATGTAAACTCCTTGAGGGCAGGGCCTGCTTTTTCCTTTTGTATTTGTGCCCCAGTGACTTACACATATTAGGTCCTTAACAAATGTTTCTAGAATGAACTGAGCAGTGTGAGTGGAAGTTATTTAAATCAAGTTTTGATTGGGGGAGGAACATAGTAAGGGCTCAAGTCACTAAAGACGTCTATGGGAGTCAAGGTCGGTTTGGGAGGAAAGTAGAGGAAGTTGTACAAAGTTTTAACTTCACATTTTGCTGAAGGGGAGGATCGGAGAGGAAAGGTGGGGAGAGGGTGGGGAAGAGGGAGATAAATCACCACCAGCTCTTAGCGCAAGGGCTCCGGAGGCCGACGGGTTTCCAGCCTCCCTGGGTGACGAAATTGAGGCATTGGGAGGGAGAGTGGTCCCCGGAGCACACACACTGGGGCTACCTGCGATTAGAAGCCCTGACGAGCCGGTCCGACAGCTCCCCGCGTCCGGGGCTCAGCCAGAGCGCTCCGTGCCCCTCCAAGGGCTCGCACCTCACGCCTCAGTGCCCTCTGCACCCCTGCACTTGTGGGACCCCGCACCTGTGCACCTACGAGACTCTACACCTGTGCACCCCCCGCCCCCGCACCTCGGCAACTCCGCATCTACACACCCTGGCCCGTGTACACGCCTCCCACTCTGGCTCCGCCCCGTACCTGGTCAAAATCCACATTCCCGAATCCTTCGCAGCAGTCGTACCCGGCTACCTGGCCCTGCATGGTCCCGCCTCGGGTCTTCCCCGAGCTTCCCCTCCCCTCCCCGCGCCTCCTCGTTCACTCGGTCACCCCACGGCCCCAAAGCCGCCGCCACCGTGGGTCCAGGGGGGTCAAGAGGCTCCCCGACCTTCGCTCGCTCCTAAATTTCTTCATCCATCCTCCCTGGCACTTCCCAGGTTAACCCCCGCCGCCCGGCATCCCGCTTCACACGCTTCGCATAGAGCCTTCTGGGAAATGTAGTCCGCTGCCTTCCCATCCTCCTCGGCCTTCCACGAGCCCCGGAGCCATACTGGAGGAGATGGAACTACAAGTCCCAGGAAGTTTGGAAGGGGCTCTTCCCCACTCTCTTAAAGAGAACTTCAAAGGTGCGTCTCAGGTGCCAGAGAACCACCACGTGTCCTTCTCTCCCGGGCCGGCTGGGTCGGCTCTGGGTCCAGTTGCCAGGGCTCACCAACCCACAACCCACCCGTTCTCTCCATGCTCAGTAGCAGCCCTTCCGGGCAGAGATCCTTCTTATCCTACCTGGGGTTACTGACCTGTCGTCCCTCTCCTCTGCTGGTGACGGGATTGGAAAGTTTGGATGGGGGGAGTAGATATAAATAACTTCCCCTGCGGGAATCCAGGAGGTGGACTTTGTCCTGGAAAGAGCCCCCCCCCCCCCCCCCCCCCCCCCCCCCCCCCCCCCCGCCTCCTCCAGCGAGTGTTTGGCCTGGGGCAGTGCATGCCTAGTACAAACTGTCCCAGTTAGACCCAAAACTGATGACACGCACCCTCGGCATCGAGAAGCTTGCCTTCTCCACCCACCCACCTCCAGCTCGGCCTTAGACTCATCCAGAGTCTTCCCCTTCACTCCGGGACACCCGGAGCCAAACTTGAAGGGTGTGTGTCATTCCCCCCCTCCCCCAGTCCATTCTGAAGGAATGCCAGAATCTCCAGGGGCGACCGTCGATCAATTTCTTTGGGCTAGTAGAAGGCAGCAAAGGCATTTAGAACACATTTTATTTCACACAGTCTTTAGGAGTGGGTTGCTGGAGCGATTGAATGGATGGAGGCAGACTTAGGCTTCTTGAAGAGGAGAGTTTGAAAGGAGAGGAGAGAACTAACAGAGTAACTGCAAGAGAAAAAGGTTGAGGGAGACTGGTTCGGGAGGTGGGAGATCTTACCTGAGCTGTGATACTGCTAGGACTATCCATAGCTCTGCATGGCCTTTTCACTTCCTCCTTCTTGTCAAGAGAAAGTAAGTTGCTTGAGTGCAGGGACTTTTCCTTTAGGTCTTGGAATCCTTATGACCTAGAGAAGTACCTGGCACATTTCAGGTGCAAATTGAATTGAATTGTTGAAAATCTGAGTACCTTCTCTCCTCCAGCTAGTCCCTGAGCTCCTTGAAACCAGTGACCATTATTATCTTAATCTTTTTTGTCTCCCATACTCGTCCTAGAACGAGCTGATTACAAAATAATCCGTTTAATAAAGATTTAATTAATTGATCAATTGTTTTCCCTCCTTCCTTACCTCTGCCTCCTGGCCAGTTCCCATTTCAAACACCAAGGAAACGGCACTGGTTGTAGAGATGGTTCTTCTGATCATACACAGGCCTGTTTGCAGCCCTGTAGTAGGTGGACAAATAAATTTGTTACGTGACAGACTATATGCTATAGGTAAAGTCCTGGAAGCTTCAAGGCTTCTTTCTCAGTCATTGCCCATTGTCAATCATTAAACATGAGATTGAGCATCAGAGTAATGTCAGCCTGACTTGATTCCCTTGAAGAGAAGGGAGAGGAGGGAAAAGTAACCACTGTTTTGGAAATATCCAATGATTCGTAGGTATTGCTGGCGATCATACTTCTCAGTAGGCAGAGACCTGGGAGGCAAAACGAAGATTTATTACTTACGCTTCCCCAAAGGCCCAAAATTTTCAAATAATTCTGGATCTTCAAACAGAGATTTCTTAAAGTTTGTATAGTCTCCAATTAAACAGATGAAAAAAAATAAAATTTTTGGATTATAGATGTGGAAATTTACAACCACTGGCTTACATTACAAAGATATGCTTGTGAAGTTTACATTTCAAAGAAAGCAGAAGAATAAAATCATATCAGATCTAGTTTACAAAAAATCTTTTTACAATCACCATGCATATCACAAATTCTTTTACTAGTTGGTCTGTTATCCTCTTATCACAATCAAAATAATTGGAAATCAAGAAAATCTCAGCAGCTAAGTGACTTTTCTCAGAATTAAAGTCCTGCTGGACACAATTTGTAATGGAGAAAAAGAAATTAAAAAAAAACCTCTTACAACACCCCTATATCCTCATGTGTCTATATCATTGGAGGTCTGTGGTCACTCTTTACCTAACTTTCCTCTCCCAAAGCCCCAACCCTTGCCCCTCATTCCCAAGGTCTGAGCAAAGTTTTTCTTTTTGAGTTTGATTTTTATCTCCAAATAGGGAAAGGTCAACATTAGAGATCAAACTGTAACTGATGCAACCAGGTGGATCCAAGCTCCTCCCACCCACCCACTCTTTCCCTTTGTTAAAATTTCTATCATTCTTTGTCAGACATTTGGTGTATAAGTTGGATTGGGATCCTAGCCATTCAAGTGAAAAAGTCTTCCTTGATCACTGCCCAACAGGAACTTTTGTTTTTATCATAAAACCATTGAATCTTAGACTTGTACTTGACCTGAGAGCTTCCTTAGTCCAACCAGTCCAGTACAGAAACCCTGTCTGAGAGTCCCATTGATCATTTAGCTCTGCCTAATGCTTCCAGACTCAGAGCTCCCTATCTCACAAAGCAGCCCTTTGGGTTGCTGAACAGCTGTACTTCTTACAAAGTTCTCTTTTATCAGGCCTGAAATCTGCCACTGTATCACTTTCACTCTTCTTTTGCTTAGTTCTTCCTTCTGAAGCTACTCAAAACAAGTTTCCTTTCCATTTCAACAGGCGCCCTTTTAATATTTTCGGTTCGATTCAGTTGAATTAACATTTATTAAGCACCTACTATGAGAAAGATGTTAGTAATACAAACATAAAATAAATGACATCATCCTTGTGCTCAGGTACAGAATGTAAGGACACATTTATATTCTCAGGAAAGATAAGAAGTTTATACAAATTATGTTTGATAAAAAGTAAGCAATGATGAGAGCAAAGGAAAGATCCAAACAAAATATTCTAGGAAAATCTGAGAAGGGACTGAACATATTTAACTGGGAGGACCAGAAAAAAAGCTACACAGAGGAAGTAGCACTGGAGGTCAGCTTTAAAGATAAGGATTTCAAAAACCGGCTTTGAAGAAGTGAATTCCATTCACAGAGGAACAGATGAAGTCTTCACAGACCCATATAACCATAAGATTCGTACGTTGAATTCTGGGATCAACTGTCCAGTCTGTTTAAAGCTCAAGTATTCATGAGGAAGGAAGGTAGGTTGGAGTTAGATTACAGAGGGCCTTAGATGCCACATTAAGAGATTTTCATTTTATTCTAGCAGTAACAGACCATCACTAAAAGTTTCTGAGCATACTTAGGCCTAAACCTTAGGAAGATTATTTTAGCAAGATGGAATAGAAGGAGAGGAATTGGAAATAGGGAGAGCAGTTGGGAAGCTATTGCCACAGTCCAGACAAGAAGTGACTAGAGGCTGAATTTAAGACAATGACAGTAGAAGAGATGGGAGAGAAGAAATGCAGTTCTATAATCAACAAGACTTGGCAACTGGTTCATTGTGAGCAAATGGAGAAGGAAAAAATTCTAAAATAATAGGGTTCAAATCTGGGTGGCTTAAAGGGTGGCAATTTCATAAACAGTAATAGGGAAGTTGGGATTATGGGCAGTTTTAAGAGGAAAGTAATGAGTGCTGTTGTGGACTTACTGAGTTTGTGGTGGCAGTGATGGGGTTGGGATCTGGGCCACAGAAAGGAAAACCCTGGTCCCACAGGGCCAAATCTCTGGAGTTCCCCTAAGGCTATAATCCCATCAATTGGCCTTTCATTGTGGACCTCCCTATGGCCCCAGGCCACTTCTCCATCCTCCCTTGGCCCTGTGGTCCAGGTCCCTGGAATTCTATTACCTCATAGACTACTTGGTCACTCCTGGGTCCCTCCCACAGTCTTTCTGTATATAAGGTCCACCTGGTCTCCATTAAGATGCTTAGATTTGTAAAATCTAGCCACTGCTTACTCATGTTCAGACTCCTTAAGAGTAACGGATGTTCTAGTAAACCTTGTCTTTGGCTGAAAGAAGGCTTGGGTCGAATTCTTTTGGGGAGGATCCACGTGTTGTGACTTTGGGGTCCCAGCACCCCTGAACCCCTAAACTGCATCCACAGCAGACTTTCACTGTGAAGATGTGGTGTTGGACCTCAGGGGAGAGTCTGAGGCTAGATATATAAATTTTGAGGTCCTGAAATGGAAAGAACACTGGAATCAGAGTCTAACTCTTCGTGACCCCATTTGAGGTTTTCTTAGCAAAGATACTGGAGTGGTTTGCCATTTCCTTCTCCAACTCATTTTACAGATGAGAAAACTGAGGCACATGTAAGTGACTTGCCCAAGGACACACAGCTAATAAGTGTCTGAGGCCATATTTGAATTCCTGACTTCAGGGCTGGCACTCTATACACTGTGCTGCCTAGCTGCCAGGTTCAAATCCCCATTCTGCATCTACTATTTGTATGACCCTAGGAGAATCACTTAGTAAAGCAAGAACCTTAGAGCCAAGATGGTGGAGGAGACACTACAACCAACTGAACTCTCCCAATAGATTTATTTATCCTCTCTAAACAACTTTAAAATAACACTTTGGAGTGGTAGAGCCAACAAAAGGTCAGGGAGAGACATTTTTTCAGTCTAAGAAAACTTAGGAGGTCAGCCGAAGAGGTCTGTGACAGTGAGGTGGGGCCCAGCCTGAAGAGTAGACTGTAGCAGCACCAGCAGGCCTTGGAGGCAGCTTGGAGAGCAGCAGCAGCAGCAGCTTCAGGAGCTCTCAGCCCAGGGATGGTAGAGGGGTCAGACTACTGGTCAGAAAGAGATTAAAGAGGACCTATTGCTGGC